TTTATTGCTGAGAAGTTTTTCATTTTTGTTCTGTTTAATTAAAGTTTTTAGTTAACCATAATTTCATGTTTGAGTTGAAGTTGTAACCATAGTAATATAACAGCATAAGTACGTACCAAGGTTCCAATCTTTGTAAATGCTGGTGTGAATTTCCACCTGTTGTTAGTTATGAATCCAAAAGGACCATTGCCGGCGATTATATGGTTTTACATCCGTAAGTTTTTTTTATATATTAATTTCATTTTTATACATTTTGCGTAAAAGGTTTATATCAGGTGTTCAGACTAACGGGACAACCCGCCTAAAAATCCTTTCCATAAATTATTTTGAACCACCACATATTATACAGCGTAGTAGGCTATCACTACCAAAGATACACATTAAGCTTTCAAATTTCAAAATGTCCAATAGATGTGTTTCTTGTATCAAAATTCATAATTCTTTGCGTAACAATGAAGTATATTTAAAATACGACAATTTGTTAGCTGCAAATATTGTCAATTAACTCATGGTGATAAAAATTACTAGTATTTGAGCAAAAATGTACGTATGAAGTTGACAAAATGTCTTAGCTACGTTGGACAAAATGAAATTGTGGTCTTGGATTCTGATTTCGACCAGCGTGTAAAATTCTGGCTGAGAGAATAAAATTAACATAAAGCCTAACAATGCGATCGCTGGGGCGTTTCGACTGGGAACCATGGTAGTGATCATCTGATAATAAATATTACATACAGGGGCCAAGTAAAGAGGGTGGAAAAACCCTTGGCAGACCAAAATCACGAATCGCAAATGCAAATTTGATAAAATACACTGAAAGCTTTGTTTTTGGAACGTAAGGGAAATACAAGACGCTGTTGTTGATGTGTGAGCCGGAGATGTCATGGAGACTATCCTGAGAATCTCTAGCAAAAACAGGACTTGTCAAAATCTTGGTTGTCGAGCACCTGTATCATGCAGTAAAGTTATGAAGGAAAACACTAAGTCGCTATCTCACTGCCAAACAGACATTCTTGAAAGTCACAGAGAACAATTGGAAAAACATCAACGAGACTCGCATCGAAAACAAATCTATGAACGCTACTAAGTCTTCTCTAACTCATTTCAAGCAGCCCTTGGGGGCATTGGTGACAGAGTTGGAGAGAGATACAAACAGAAGGAAGACCTAATGGTTTGGTGCGAGCAGTAACAAAGTACCACTCCCTCAGTTTCATGAATCGAAAAACTAACTTTGCAGTGGACCAGAGAAACGTGATACGTGCACATACTAGATGAAAATGAATCTGCCCTTTACAACTGATGAACTTCAGAAAACTCCCTTGTCCAAGTACTCGGTGATAAAGTAATTGCCCCAGAGGCTATGCTTTTCTTGCTAGAACCTATTCAATGAATCTTGGACCAAGACGGCATCCATTGTACCTGACCCCAGGCTGGGAAAAATCTCAGAAAGTCGGAGACTGATTTGTTCAGACAGCCGAGATAATTTCAGTTAATTCAATGTAACTGTCAAATCCTGGATCAAAGTTTTGAACAAAAATATGAAAGCCTCCGTAGCACAAAATGGGTATCTGTCCGAACAACTTGAAGTCCAACGTGGATGTCGGCAATCGCCCCATATATATTCATCCTTTGTGTTGAAATTTTGGCAATTCTTATTAAAAACAACAATCATATCACTGGAATTTTTATAGGACAAACTGAGTATGTTATCTCACAATTTGCTGACGATACCTCTCTCATGCTCAACGGAACAAAAAAATCCTTTCTTGCAGCACTTGATGTCTTGGAATATATCACAAAACAAAACTAAAATAATTTGGATTGGTTCAAAAAAGTTCAGTCGAGATGTATACCACCATGATAGGTGGAAATTTGAAAGGGGCGTAAATCATTTTAACTTGCTTGGTATTGAATTTTCTACCGATTTAGATGAAATTGTTCAGTTAAACTATAACAAACAGATCCCTAAACATGGAGTAGGAGAATCTTGACACCAATTCACAGTCCTAAAAACACTTGCAATTCCAAACCTCAATCATCTATTTATCTCACTACCGAATCCCTCGGATCAAGTAATAAAAACGCTTATGGCAGAGTTTATGATGTTTATATGGGGCTCAAATCGCAATAAAATCAGAAAGGATATTATTACACAAGAGTATATTGAGTGTGGTCTAAATATGATGAACTTTATTTTGGCCTTAAAAATAACATGGATTAGGAAAATAAAATCAGGTAGTCAATCTTGGATTAATATCCTAAATACTTCATGGGGTAATGATGTTTCGAGATACATACAGAATTTGGACCTGAAGTTTGTAATACTTTTTTGAACTAATGTATTCTGGAAAAATGTGTTTCAAGCCTTCAAGTGCTTTGATTAAAAACAGACTGATGAGATTGATTGTTTCCAGAATTTTTGTAGATTGCCTATCTGGTATAGTAGTATATGTAATATTTACAATCAGTGTGTATTCCTAAAGGAGTGGTATGATGGTGGGGTAAAATTTGTGAAAGACTTTTATGATTCACAGGGATGTCTTCTAAAACATGTAGAGTTTGAACAAAAATTTAATATTGAGGTTGTTTGCCACCTGAAATACAATGGCATCGCCAGGAATCTGAGAGCTTTTTCCAAAAAGCAAAAAATTGTGCTAGATAACACCCCCCACGAACCCTTCATACCCTCGCACATTGCTTGTCTCATGAAAACTAGAAGAGGCTGTAAGGAAATATATAATATACTCAGGCCATCTCCTGGTACTCCAACAGCTGTTAAAAGATGGAATAAGGTCTATAACTTGAGTCAAAAGGATTGGCAACAAATACATAGTACAACCTTTAGCATAACCTCAGATACAGGCTTGCAGTGGCTACAATATCGCATAAAATACAAAGAATACTACCGCTAAAAGCCTACCTTAAAATCATTGAGGTGATAGATGGCGATACTTGTAGCCTATGCAATGCCCATAGAGAAAATGAAACCCACATATTGTTTGGTTGCGATAGTATTTAACCTAACTGGCATAGACTAGCTGAACTTATAAGCACAAGAACGAGCCAAAAAATCCAATTTTCTGAAATTGATATTATTTTTGGGAGACAACCACACAAATCCAACTTGGCACTAAATTGTATTATTCTGGCAACAAAACTATATATTCATAAAACAGTGAAAATGAAAAGGGTATACATATAGTGGCACTAATCAGTCATCTTAAATTCATGTATCAAGTAGAACAATATAATTATAACGTATAAAAATATGCACTTAGTAAAGTTATAAATGGGGTACTGACACTTGGAGTAAACTATTTAAGGTACTATATAATTTTATATTGTTATCATCATGTACATGTATATGTTGATGAATAAAGCTGTAGTAAAAAAAACAAAAAAAAAAACAATAAAAAAACAAAATTCAATGTTACTCAGTAATTGTTTGCACCACGCAGCTGTTTATTTTAATGTTGAAAGCGGTGCGTAATACAGTAGCATATGGGAGTATATACAATGTTTTATTGTTTTTCTGCTTCATATAGCCATTCTGAACACATATTCACTGAGTGCCACTTTGGCACACTTGGGAAAATATTTTTATGGACAAAATTCAAAATGGCCGCCATCCCTGATATTCCGAGTACTATTTTTGTCATAAGTTTGCTTCTAGGGCACCAAGGGTCAAGGAATTCATTTATGATGGTTGTTTGTGGTTATTATTGCGAAAATTTAATTAAAACATTGAATACTCTATAAGAATCTTCAGGAGTCCCTTACATTGTAACACATACTTTTTATCCAAAAAAATGTTTTCACAAATTTTCATAAAATTGCCCAAAACCAGTCCCTTAACATCCCCTACAGCCAGAAATAATCTCCATCTATCAGTTCAAAATATCTACTACCAATCCTACAATATCCCCTACTACAAGTCCTTGAATATCACCTAATAGTAAACAATCTTACAACACCCTCTTCTTCAAGTCAAACAAGCGTCTCCTACCACCAGTCCGCTATTACCACAGTCTTTTCCAAATTCCAGTCCAAAATTATGTCTCACAACCAATCCTACAATCCCTCCGCCTACTACCAGGCCTACATCATCACCTACTACAAGTCCATTCCCCCACCCTTTCTACTAGTCCGAAAACATCACCATCGGGTAGTAGGGAGCGATATAGGACTGTAAGTAAGAAATGTTGTTGGACTCGTAGTAAGTGATAATGTTGTTGAACTGTTTATTATTAGGTAACGTTTCAGGACTTGTAGTGGGGCAGTTGTTAGATTTAGTAGTAGGAAATGGTATAGATTTGGTAGTGGATGTTGTTCGACTCTTTTGGAACAATGGACACTATATTGAATCGTCAATATGTGACCTTCAAAGACCAGGCCCTTCAACGATTCAAATAAATAATATTGTTATTGCGTGACAAATCGATCACGGTTTGATATGCAGTCGATTTTTTCGCTCTGCTTTGTTTTCGTAATTTCAAAAAATATGATTTTGTGTCACATAATCTGAAGAAACTTTAATATTATTGTGACCAATTTCTTTGTGACCACACTAGTGACCATTTACCTTTTACTCATTTAATTTGTGACCAATTAGTAGTAACAATTTACTCTGTGATCAATTTATTATCGTCTGACGATATTGTGTGGCCTATATACATCATGACCTCGTGACTGATTTAACTTTGACCGTAATTTGTGGTCAATTTACCTTGAGACAATACTCTTTTCTACGGAAGCGTAATAGTGCCAAATATATTTTTTTTTTTTCAAATCCGACTTAGTAACTCGAAAATCCGACTTCGTAACTCGAAAATCCGACTTATTAACTCGAAAATGGGCTACACATATATTTTTTTTCCGACTTAGTAACTCGAAAATCCGACTAAGTAACTCGAAAATCCGACTTACTAATTTAAAAATCTGACTCACTAACTCTAAAATGGGCTACACATATTTATTTTTTTAATAACTCGAATATCCTACTATGTAACTCGGTGATGTTTTGGTATCTTTAATATAAACCAATATACACCATCGACCTTTAATATATACCAATATACACCATCTACAATTAATATACACGAATATACACCATTTAACATTAATATAAACCAATATACACCATCTACCTTTAATATAAACCAATATACACCATCTACCTTTAATATACACCAATATACACCATCTACCATTAATATATACCAATATACACCATCTACCTTTAATATACACCAATATACACCATCTACCATTAATATATACCAATATACACCATCTACCATTAATATAAACCAATATACACCATCGACCTTTAATATATACCAATATACACCATCTACACCATGCCGAATATGTCGATTTAACGTGTTTTATTGTATCATATCGACTTAAAAATATGTCGACTTGGCGTCATAATATTCCGGTAAGAGTTAATCAGGGAGATGTGGAGAGTGAATCAGGAAGATGATGAGAGTGAACCAGGAGTATGATGAGAGTGAATCAGTAAGATGATGAGAGAGAATCAGTAAGATGATGAGAGTGAATCAGTATGTCGTAAGTGAGTCACCATATAAAGGAGCTATTCATTTCAACATATTATATCACGAAGATTATTTTTCAGCAATTGCTTAAATACCAAACTCACTAAAAGGTATAAACATGGAAGCGGACAGTAGATGAGGGCATATTTAACAATCAAATCAGCATGTTCTTCAGTAACATTATGAATAAAATCCGCAAAAACTAGTGCATTTGTTAAATTTTTTCGAATTCGGTTAAAGTTGAGTGGGCTTTCCTAATGCTAGAGGGGTTTTAATATTCCGGTAAGAGTTAATCGGGGAGATGTGGAGAGTGAATCAGGAAGATGATGAGAGTGAACCAGGAGTATGATGAGAGTGAATCAGTAAGATGATGAGAGTGAATCAGTAAGATGATGAGAGTGAATCAGTAAGATGATGAGAGTGAATCAGTAAGATGATGAAAATGAATCAGTAAGATGATGAGAGTGAATCATCCTTTAGCGACATTTAGGAATTTTCGAGTTACTCAGACGGATTTTTTAGTTACTAAGTCTGATTTTCGAGTTACTAAGTCTGATTTTCGAGTTACTAAGTCTGATTTTCGAGTTACTTAGTCGGATTTTCGAGTTACTAAGTCGGATTTTCGAGTTACTAACTCGGATTTGAAAAAAAAAAAATATTTGTGACCCATTTTCGAGTTAATAAGTCGGATTCTCGAGTTACTAAGTCGGATTTGAAAAAAAAAATATGTGTTGCACTATTGCGCTTCCGTACTTTTCACCAATCAATTTACGATTTAATTAGTCTTGTGGTCTAATTAACGTGACCAATTTACATTATGTGCGATCACACTTCTGTGTTATTACTGTGACCAATTTATCTTGTAATAATGTCAAATGACCATATTTTTATGATCATTTTTATCTGATAATCATGTCAATATTACGGAGCCCCTAAGGCGCAATTGTAAACATATTTATTTATTATTTCGTTTAAACAAAATAATTATTTTGTGATATGTGATATTATTAATAACATTATGAATAAAATCCGCAAAAGCTAGTGCATTTGTTAAATTTTTTCGAATTCGGTTAAAGCTGAGTGGGCTTTCCTAATGCTAGAGGGGTTTATATCACAGGGGTTTATATCACGAGAGTTTATTTACGGATAGATTCAAAATAGAAAAGGAGACGGATTTGTTTGTTCCCCATCCCATTTCGTAAACATATATAATTATACAATTTTTATTCTTTAAACAAAATCTCATTCGATAACCAATAATGTGACCGACATAGGTAGCGATTTTAAATACAAAATGCAAAATATCTCATGCATGTAACAACAGCAAAAACTCATTGATTAACATTCTTTCGAAATAAATTTCGTATGTTTTTTTGTTTTTTTTTTTATTTGATTTGTATTTGAGGATATCTTTGGCAAGAATTATATGAATTCAATAATTGAAAAACTGAATTTTTATCAAAGAATGTTCATTTTCAGTACAAATTATGATTTTTGTAAACAAATGTCAAATTTAAATGACAAATGTTGAATTTAGCGTGCAAATTAAGAGATAAGATAATAGCAATGAAGAACATTGATCAAAAAGACATTCCGCCTTCTATATTTAACTTGTTAATTTGTAAGGGTCGATAATGTTCTTGTAATACTTCTTGTTTTTTTCTAACAATAAACTACAAATTGTCTACATTGGCATTGCTTTCTGTGAGTCTTTGTTATAAAAATGTTACTTTATAAAAACATACAAAATCGAGAAAGCGAACTTTGTTTGAAATCGCTCTAATACGTATTGTTTAGTTTCTTTTATCTTTACTAGCTGACAGAGCTTTCAGTGGATAATCAAATCGCTGCATTACAAACTTATGTGATACAAGAAAGATGACTATTGCAGTCAAGATATTAGGCGCAATTCGTAATAACTTGACATTGTGAAGATGCTATCAAAATAGTCATTCAATATTTACTTTAAGTCTGTATAAACAGGATTGCAAGATTGTTTTGAGGAGGACTTCACTTTAATTTTGTTGTTTATTTCTTTATTTATTTGTCTTATTTTTCAGACAAATTTTGTATAGCAGATTTTAGTACATGTACTGATGACCTACCAACAGCCCAATGTCTCACATTGAAAAATAATCATGAATGTATCTTTGATAAAGCAGTAAATGGAACATCGTGTTTATGTCATGAAACTTGTATAAGTTCTAATTTATGTCCAGGTATTTTGTAGCGATATATCCCCTAGTCATGGTATCAAGAATATATATATATTTCAAAAATCTTGCATAATAATACAGTGGTGTAACCTATTTTCGTGGATATAAGGATTCAACACCGAATTTCGTCAAAGTTAAAAAAACGAAAATTTTCTTTTATGTCTTAGATGTCTCCTCAGATATTCTACAAAATAATTAAAATTGGTTTATTTCGATTTTCTTTATGAATCCTTCACTTTGACCCATATTTCATGAGCAACCAACTCGGCAACGGCGGCAGAATGCGTCACCTATTTTCGTGTACAATGTTTGAACTATAAATAAGTCTAGAAAAACACGTTGTATGGATACCGGGTGGTATAATTAACTTCTCTTAGTATTTATCTTTAATATCAATTCATCATAACTAGTGACAATTCCTTCAAAGAACCACGATGTAAAAAAAATAGTGACTGACAAAATAAGATACGTAGCGTGATTTATTACTAAAAGTCACTGAAACAACATAAGAATATGGTCCACTTTGTGTTCCATAGAAATTTTCTGCTGACACAGAATCCGCTAGTTGATCACATGACTTCATTCGTTGGAATATATTCTAGCAGACGACACTTGGAATTCCGATTACCGCTTGGGATTATAAGGAAATTCGGCCGATAAAAAATGGTGACGTTTGGTAATAAGTGAAATCCGCCATTTTGTTTATGTCAAAGTATACATTAATACATTTTACCTTGCTTGAAACTACTCAATTCATTCTACTAGCTGATATTGTACAGAAAACCCATGTTTATCAAAACATACTAATGCGGAGGTCGCGCAAGGTCGCTCATGTAAATTATTATTCCTTTCCGGAAATCCACGAAATTAGGTTACTTGACTGTACTATATTCATGAATGGGGACGTTAATAAAGAGCGCAATGTTTTTATCTGGAAGAATCGTGCTATAGTGTTCAATAAAGCATACATATCTTTGCGACTTACAAATAAAAAACAAATTTGATATTTCAGCCGCAGATGGACCACTATTAGATTCAAGGTGTGATTGTATACATTATTTGGACCAATGTGGAGGGTATACTACCCCTAAACCAGGTTGTCCCTTGGCTGCCTGGAAAACAGATTGTTTTAGAACAGCATATTTCTATGATAGTAGGTGCCTTAAGTTTATCTTGCATCAATAACGATAAGTTTATCTTGCATCAACAACATAAAGTTTATATTGTATCAATAACAGTAAGTTTATCTTGTATCGATAACTGTAAGTTTATCTTGCATCAACAACATTAAGTTTATATTGTATCAATAACAGTAAGTTTATCTTGTATCAATAACAGTAAGTTTATCTTCTATCAACAACATTAAGTGTATCTTGTATCGATAACAGTAGGTTTATCTTGTATCAATAACAGTAAGTTTATCTTTTATCAATAACAGTAAGTTTATCTTGTATCAATAACAGTAAGTTTATCTTCTATCAACAACATTAAGTGTATCTTGTATCGATAACAGTAGGTTTATCTTGTATCAATAACTGTAAGTTTATCTTGTATCAATAACAGTAAGTTTATCTTGTATCAATAACAGTAAGTTTATCTTGTATCAATAACAGTAAGTTTATCTTGTATCAATAACAAAAAGTTTATATTGTATATATAACAGTAAGTTTATCTTGTATCAATAACAGTAAGTTTATCTTGTATCAATAACAGTAAGTTTATCTTGTATCAATAACAGTAAGTTTATCTTGTATCAATAACAAAAAGTTTATCTTGTATCAATAACAGTAAGTTTATCTTGTATCAATAACAGTAAGTTTATCTTGTATATATAACATTAAGTTTATCTTGTATATATAACATTAAGTTTATCTTGTATATATAACATTAAGTTTATCTTGTATATATAACATTAAGTTTATCTTGTATATATAACATTAAGTTTATCTTGTATATATAACATTAAGTTTATATTGTATATATAACATTAAGTTTATCTTGTATATATAACATTAAGTTTATCTTGTATATATAACATTAAGTTGCATGTATAATAGTATATTTAATTTGAAATACGAAATAATGTAATTACGATTTAATCTTTATGATTTAAAGTTAGTTTTGAAAATTCTATCTTTAAGTCCAATCCTGCTCCCATACAGTTGGCATTCCGGGTTTGCAGCATGGTGGAGCGTTTAGGTATGGTGATATAGAACAATATTGGTGTGCAGATGGATATAAACAAATTGGGGGTTCCATAGGATTGTCGATTTGCTGGGAAGGTAATTATATACAACACGGTGACTCTGGTGAATATCCTGTATGTGAATGTAAGTGATTGTGAGGTTTTCTCTTCTTTCCATGTGCCACTGCGCAAGAACAATAAACTTTTCAGGAGGATCCCATATCGTCATTCTATGATTAATTGATTATTCACGCGTCGGCAATGTTGAATTCATTTGTATCACTGCAGTAAAACCTTGACGTCTTTAATACCACCTTCTCTAATCCCAATACACCTTATCACATTTTACATCATTAAATTTAGATTTCGGGGAAGCGGCGTCATTTCATTTGGTTGACAAAATATTGAATGTAACATATGTAACTTTGAGTAAACCATATGCGCTTGAATGTTCTGGGTCGATGACGCGTTTAATGTCCAGTAATTTTTATCTTTCCATGACTTTCATATTATGATGTACGGAAAATTTATGAAAATTTCTAAAGATTTAAGAGTGATCAATATTTAGTAAGTCAGTTTAATATTGAACAGTTGTTTATTGCAGTGATAACATGTTCGGATCCACCAAAAGTGCTATACACCAACCCAAGTGCTACTCAAGTGTCAGTTTTTGATGACATCACCTACACATGTCAGGATGGTACAGAACAAATTGATGGCGGCGATGGCAGGATAAAATGTGGTACTGATGGTTTATGGCATCCTTGCAATACAACTATTAATCCTATATGTATAGGTATGTGGTAAAATTTTAAAAAAAATCGCAGACGAGGCACCATGTTTAGAGTTTACTTTCGACTGAAATTCGTAGTTCAAAACTAAAATCATTTTTAAAAATTTCAATATCAAGATGGGGCATATATTGTTACATGATGATTAAAAATAGCAATTGGAAAACGAGGGGGAGGGGTGACGAAAATCATCAATATGAGAGGGTCGTACATAATTCAATACAGAACTTCAATTTTAAACAAAGGAGGAGACAACAATAATCATTGTAGTTACATGTTATGACAGTAAAATAAATTGTAACCATATAAAACCAATATCCGTTACTGTTCAAATATGATAGTGGCCCAAATTCAGAAACTACGGAGCCCCTAAGGCGCAATTGTAAACATATTTATTTATTATTTCGTTTAAACGAAATAATTATTTAAACCCTGTGTTTATTTCGTTTAAACGAAATAAAAAGATGGGTTAATTATTTCGTTTAAACGAAATAGACGAAAAAATTAATTCGTTTAAACGAAATAATTAATTCGCTTTAACGAAATAACTATTTCGTTTAAACGAAATAATAATAAAAAGTGATGAAAATTGCGCTTAAGGGGCTTCGTAAGAAACTAATAGTAACTAATTGACTTTATTTCAGGAGATTTTGCCTTCTTTGTCAAACTACCAACCTTTTCACCATCAGTTTTATTAATCACATATCAAAGTAGAAGTTCGATTGAATGTGCCAGTTTGTGTTTAAATTTATATATGTGTGTTGGTTATACGTTCGATTCTTCTAGCAGTATATGTAGTCTAAATGAAAGTGGCGACCAAGATGACAATACTCAGATGATTCAGGTGTACCCATATTAGATGTTGTTTGCGCCTCATTGATGTTTAGAAATATGCATTCGCCTATGTATATGTCGATGCACCTATATACAGCCTCGTGTCAAAATTTAAATGTTCCAAATAGTACCCCGCCAGACAAGATTGTTTTTCGAACAAACTTGGCACACCTATGACCCCAACGGTCGTCGTGTTCATTATGACAATTAAAAGAGTCGAAACATAAAAGGGATTCTCCAATAATTCCATTGTGGAAAAAAGAATCATTTACGGTAAATTATTCTTTACTTTTTGTAATACTTATGACTCCTGTTTAACATATTAATATACTAAACATAAATAATAATAATTAACAACATAATCACATTACACAGTGTTATTTCTTTTTTATAAAATATAATAGTATAGGTATATTTGGAAATCTGATTAAAATACTAGATATTTATTTCGTTTATTTTCTAATGCTTATATCACTAATACCATGATCTGAGGTTTCTTTGAAATTGATACAGCATGTTCGGAACCGAGCTGATGTAGATACTTAAAAACCGTTGATCGTATTAATCGGAAAGAAGGGATCAATTCTGCAAAGAGGTTTGGTTTACAAAAAGTTTTGGACGATAGGTTCAAAGGACCAATAGTTCGAAGGAAGGAAGGGGTATATCATTGGCTGAAATATTTCTGAATTCTGACTCACCACCACAGAATGCTACAAAAGTGCCCTAGTGAGGTTCGCCTTCCTGAACGAGTAAACTGCGATTCAAATGTAACTACTTTGGCGTCAAAGAAAGTTGTTGTCTTAAGAAAACCCTTAATATTGCCATTTTACATAATTTATAAACGGTTTCTAAACAGTCAATTTGACCAATTTTATAGAATATAATCCCGAAAATATTTCGAAAGCATCAGAAAATGTATTAGGTCACATTCTGCATTATTAATCTGATAAATAAATCAAACGCGGATAGCAAAATGCTAGTTTAATTGAAACTTCCGTGACGTCTTGCTTAGGATTTAATTCGTGGTAGTTCATTATCGATGGGCTTCACTTTATGTTTGTTTGTTAAACAACAGAATATTCCACCCATCCAACTGCTGATTCCAAGTGTCTTTGCTTTACTGGTATATCGACTTGGTATTTTACTCTTTTCTTTATAACCTAATCTCTCTTTCAATTCTTTGGGACAAAACGGTAAATCCTCCACTGAGATGATGTCAACATCTGCTTCATCACCCCGAAGTAAACTCTGAGCTTCACTTGGTAGTAAAAACCATCTGTAAGGCGCCGATGTTTCATCAAACCATAATCGTTGATCGACCACCGAACGATTCTCCTGAAAAGGGGATAATAATGAAATTGTTAGAGTTTGAGCGAAAATTATTATGATACATTCATATAAGAAATGAGGGCCGTAGTCAGACTTGTTCGGAGAGGCAAGTAATATATTCGGAGGGGCAATGGTGTATGGGGTTGTCGGTTGTCAGAATTCTTCCAGGGGGAGCAAAATCCACACGCCAATGGGCCACTTACGCTTGTAAAAGTGTTAAAGATTTAATGAAGCTGTATCTAGTCGAACAGAATCCGAATAGCTTTTATCCTTTTTAATGAGCTATTACTGCAGTATCGCAAGTTGCCTTTGCCTTGATTATTGATAACCTTTATCAGTACAAAGAATACTTACATTTTCTACTTTATCAAATAGTTTTCTTGCTGTCGTCAAAACGTCCTGCAATTATAAAATAGAAGATATTAAAACCTTGTTAAAAACATAAAATTAAAAACCTGACAACCATATTCTAAACATAAAACAATGTTCACAGGAAAAAACTAAGAGCTAAGCAATAAACCATACACGAAAATATTTTTTATGTTTATACCTGGAAATTTGGAGCAGATCCATTGATGTGTGGTTGATGAAAATCCATATGGTTACCTGTATAACTTATATCAAACAAACTTTTTCTTTCATCTATTGCCTATAAAGGAAATTGATACCTCAAAAACATATCGAAAATCTGCAAGGGGGAAAGATGAACAAAATTACCAGAGTAGACTGAAAGTGATAGTTTTCGTCAGATATCAGAAAATGTCATTTGTCTGAATAAAACTAAAGTTGAAGCTGCTAAATATAAGTCTGAAACTGTTAAATATGAAGTTGAAAATATCAAAATGTCAGACAACAGAAATGTGAATTAAGATGTGCTGTTAAGCTATTTTATACAGTTACCTTAAAGTCGACGTGTTTCCAATCACCAGTTGTTGGATTAAAGGTATACTGAAAATATAAGTTACAGTTTGTGGATCATTGACATTTGAAATGAAATGAAATGAATGGAGTTTTACGTCCTGCTCTTCTGCACCACATGAAGACGGGCAACGCCATGCAGAGTGCAATGAGGGAAATTTTGCCAGGACAGCGGCGTTAGTCTGCTCTTTTTCGATTTCCAACTGTCGGGGGATCTTTAACGTGCACAGCCTGTAGCACACGAGGCCTCGGTTTATTGTCCCATCTGAATGACTAGACGCTTTTTCCATGTCAGACCCTCTTACCTTCATCACTGACAGGGGAAAAATTGTTAGCATTTCCCACATATTTAGTAATTATCTACAAATGAAAATGCTGAAATTTAAAAAAAAAAAATTAAAATAGATATTCTGTTACCTGAGGTAATAATTTCCAACCATCATCTGCTACCATCGTCACTGCTTTAATAATAAACTGTACTTCGTCTTCTAGGAGGAAATAAGGTAGATTTAATCTGGTAAAACCTGGTCTGAAAGGGAGATAAACAGATTTACTAATTAGTAGTTTAGTAGAAATAATAGATTTCTGTTAAAGAAATTAACCGTTTGTGCAGGGCTAACTTTAAAAAAAACAACTACCATGGATTTTGAATTACAGACTTGGGAAACTTACTTTAAGATCTCTTGTGAAGACGCCTGGCTAATAGTCATTTTGTTATTTTTCGGTTGGCCCACAGCAAACATGTTGGCTATATCTTGCGCTGTCTCTTCATTCATATCAAATAAGTCCTAAAAAGACCAGGAATCCTTATTAACACATGGTTTAAATTTGTGTTACAAAAGAAGGACAAGACCTGACAACTTGGCACAATGTCAATACATACTGATCATTATATCTCCAGGGGAGGTTACAAATTGTCAACCTAATATAGAAGGCATATATACGCTACGTCAGATTTTCCAACATTCAACATCCAAATGACGTCAACCGTCAATTTGTAACAACATTGACCATCCAAACAGTATTTTTAATCTAGAAATGACGCAATCAATTTATTTTTTGATATTATTAGAGGTGAACTTATGAAGATATAATCAATACGAGAGAAATATTCGATTAATCGAATAATTATTTAAATAAAAAAAATCACATTAACATAGATTTTTGGTAACTTACTATAGCATACGGTCCGGCACAGGCACAACCTCCTCTATTCTGGATACCAAACACATCATTTAATATAGTACTAATAAAATTATGGTGAAGAAATCGGCCGGTTTGTGGGTGGTAAATTAGAAATGAAAACACTGGTAATCTATCTGAGTCTGTATTTCCCAGTATAACCAAATTTTTATTAGTTTTAAACACTGGCATAGCTTTTCTGTAATGAAACAACGATTGAAGGTTTGGACAGGATAAAAATGTCATATATTAATAGATAAAAATTTCGTTCGAATTGAAACAGTTCTGATGGTTACTAAAATTGTTAGGGTTAATTATTTCAAACATTTTTTTTACCTAAATAAATAATTTTCTCGGGATAAGATATATTTTGGTGTAATAGCTTCTTTTAGTTGAAAAGTGAGCCCAGCTCTAATAGACTCGACTATAGCTGGTGTACCACCCTCTTCTCTTACTTCTGGATCTGTATGGTAAACACGACTACTTTGAGTTACCTAAAATAACGACATTATGGTGAGAATGTGATCTATAGTGTGCGTATGTGTAAAATAATGAAGAAGTAATCTAAATTTTCAGAAGCACATCTTGAACCCTCTTGTATATCTAAAAAAAAAATATACAGCTATAAGTATAATTGATGAAATGACGACAATATATTCGTCCAGAATTCGTCAGACCAATATTGTCATTCTCTATAGTAGAACAAAGGAATCGAAGTTTCAGAATTGTGACAAATGTATTACTTGGCAAATTAGTTGAAGGACTACTGATAAATCTTTAAGATATTTGAAAAGTATCCTGGATAACTTACATAGACAACAGTTCCTCCGCCACATATTACTGGTTTCTGACTTTTGAAAAGGTTACGTTTTGCTATAAGAACACCAGGTGTCGATACTCCGCCCAGAAATTTGTGCGGTGATATAAATACTGCATCTTTATACAAATATTTATCTGAATATCTACAATGGGAAGGAATAAACAATATGACAAGATCCACCTCTGTAAATTAAAATCGACAAATATAGAAAATTAGAGGGTAACATCATAAAAGTGACTCTATAACGCCGCCTCTTTACTTCCTTTGTGAAATTCCTGTGGTATGGGATAAGCTACAAATTTTGTAACAATCATAATGGTTATTTTGGCAAATACTCCAAATAGCTTACGTGATAAGGAAGAAAAAATACAGTAAGATTGTCTATTGTATATTAAGGTTAACAAGTACGACCCAATACCCACTATTCATTATTTGCTATTTTAGACACTACCGAAAACATGAAAGTGCATCAAAACAAAACTTACTCATCAACATGGGGATTGCAATCAATCTGAACATAAGGCGCAGCAGTAGCATAATCCCAGAAAGCCAGAGCACCATATTTATGTAATAAAAACGTTATGTTATCAATATCTGAGATTATACCAGTAACATTCGATGCTGCTGTGAAGCATCCAATCAATTGACGATCTGATCCAGCATGTTTCTGTAAAAGAAGATGTTTGTGGTTATTTTATATAATAAACAAATTAATTTTATATGTTGATAATGTAAATAATATTGGTAAGTCATATTTTTATGCACAAAAGATAACATCATTCCTAGCTGCAAATCGTCAAAGGAAGAATCTTCTTTTCCATGCATACAATTTGTCATTGTGTCCAAACCACGCCCAAGTACGTCGTATTTCCTCGAGACCATACCAAATCCGTATCATAAGTCGACAACGTGTTTTACTATATCATATTTTACAACAGAATCAATGGAATAATACCTTTAAATTACTTTCCAGGAATGTTTTATCCACAAGTCCATTTTTATCATGTGGTACTCTTATAACCTTGACAAAAAGACAGAAATATCAATATACATTACACAAGTCCTGTAGTTTTGTGGAAAAACGGGAAGCTACATTCCGATTTTATATTAGGTGTCACTAGTATAGCATGTCTAAGAAAATATCGGACATAATCCCTTATCTATATTATACAAACAAAACTCTCTGAACATTGTGCATAATCTCTAACTATATTAGATTGACGTAGTGTCTTTTGGCAAATAATTTTAATCTGGGGAGCTATTCAGTGTTCAGAGCTTAATAATACTTGACTTTTGCATGGAGCCATTGGTGTAAATATATTTGTGATACCATGCATGATTTCGAAGTCAATTCGATTAAATTCTCTAGAAGTGGGTCTATCTATTTGTATAATGCAATCATTTCTAAACCTAAAATGCCTTGTATCATTATGTAGGCCGATCGACCACTGCAATACTTTCAAGCTCTTTTGGTGTATCAATAAACGTACCTTAGCTCCAGCTTCACCCCAGGGTAGAAATAACGAATGGTGTGCATAAGGGCACATGAACACGATCTGAAACAGATTATTTAAAAAAGCTGGTATGATATGACCATAGATAATATTTGTTAATGAGTATTTCAAGATTTGATTATGATATTAATTTGAAACGACTATAGGTTAATTTACGTGATGCGCTTCATGTAAACCAATTTGAAGTTAATGTCATAAAAATATACGCTATGCTATTTAAATATTTAACAGAATATCTATAGCTTATTATTGCCACCTCAACGATCGCTTTATTAAGCCAAAATAAATGCCTGTATGTAACAATAACAGTTCAAAGGAGGCTTAATAAATAACTTTAATAGCCTCCAGGCAATTTTATCGGGAATCATTGACATTTAACATGCAACTCTTCTCCCCCACACTATTATCTTGCTTCAACGAAAACCTATCGTCCAGTAAGGGAGTGTATGTAGTTTAATCAATAATTTAAAGCTATATATCTTGATTTTAAATTATTCATCTTAATATCCTGACTTGACACTTGACCGATTTTCACTCGGTTTATCATAGCAACTATGATATTATAACTGATCTACAAGAAATCTATTATAGGAAGAACGCAGTGAGAAAAGCAGACATGATGTAAATAGACGCTGATGAACCTTGGATGAAGTTGTTTGTTTCCAAACGAAGACAGAGGGTTGTGATGGAAAATGTAGATGTAGATTGTATAATATGATCATAATACCTATTGACTATACAATATATATATATATACATTTATCTCCTATGTCTATTACAAGACATGAATCAAATTTATGGTTACAAAATAAATAGCCCGTATTATCCAAGATAACTTAAAGGCTCTAGAGTTATTCCCCTAACTAATAAGGCCACTAGAGGGGCTGTATTAAGCAGCTTCCTCTTTCATCAAGAACTTTCAACCCACCCTAAAATTGGAATTTTAGCTAATTGTAGTTATGTTTTCTGTTGGTGTTTTTTTGTTTATAATTTCAGAATCATCTTGAAGTTTGAAGTATAGTTATATCTTAAAAGTTATATGGTTCACAAATTAAACTGGATTCCAACAACCATAGAAATAAACGATGTGGCGAGAGCGCTTACCAAAACATTTTGGAAAAGGCAGTTGTACTATTGTAAGACTTGGATCTCGAGCTACTAGGTCAAGTCTCAAGTTAAAGCACTTGAATCACAGAGTCAGAGAGTCGACTATTGATAGAAACAGATGCCTGTGACTTGGATCTCGGGTTTCCAGGTCAAGTGCAATAACTTAACATTGGTTTGTAAATATGGATTAAAAATTCAAACGTAAGCGACCATAATAACTTGTGGCGGTCGTCACATTATGGATATGGACATAATTTTGTGGTAAATCATTTGTTGGAAATAACCGTACCATATCTAACCAATAAATTTTAATAAAATTTTAATTAAATAAAATTTTGTTGTGTTATCTTTTCTTAAAATAAAGGTACAATACTTACTGGTGGTTTTGATAAATCTAAAGAATGAAGTATCTTATCAATAGCACCGGTACAACCACTTCCAACAAATATAACACAATCACTTTCATTGGCATTACAACAACTTCTTATAATGTCTCTGCAATATAAAAAAAAAACCTTATATCTTGATTGACCTGTAAAGCTTTTAAAATTGGAGAAGCTACGTTTGATTTCTCTGCAGCAGTATATAGAGGAACATATCGGTACGGTGGAAGTAAATATATTTTTGATAAACAGCTAATATTATGTCAAACTTTCAGAGATCTTTCAGAAGAACTATTCGTGAATCTGGGTTATCTAAATGGAATTTACAAAGTCTCTATTACATTCAGTATTACAAAACTCTCAAATGTGGACATATATTACGTCACGCTCAAAGTACACAGATAATTAAAAATACACTTACCTTGCTTGTTGTCTGAATAAAGATGTTTGTAATGATGTCACGCTGGTGGTTGTATGTGTGTTGGCATATTCTGGTAATACTTGCTTTTGAATATAATCTTCTATGAATTTTAAACCACTGAAATTAAAATTGGCAGTTGCACAAAAGTGTAAGCCGAAATACTATTGGTCTATTAAACAAGGCAATAACTCAAGAAATACTTTCTCTAATTTTTCATAACTGGAACAATACACCATGTCACTCAAAGCCCTTTCAAAACTGGATGAGATTTTATACAAATTTCAATGTATTTTGGACAGGGAAGGGGTAATTTGTTTGAATGGATATAGTAATCTTGCGTTCATTACCTTATCTTTTACGATGGAAGTTTTTAAATGCAGCGATTTGATTGGATTGTACTCTAGACCGCGATTACACGCGCAATCAAATTGTTTACAGTCTTTCTGTTGAGGCTATGATTGACTTACAATACAATCAAATCATTCGTAAATTTTCGTCATAAAAGAAATATGGCTATTACAGTCAAGGTATTAGGCGCATTTCGTAATAGCTTGACATTGTGAAAATGAGACACATCCAGCATGCGGTAGTAAAGTTGAATAATAGAATATTTTAAACATTTATTATTGAATTTGTTTTATTGTAATGTAGATTGAATTGACAAAGGATAGCCACAGGAACTATTAATTCTTATTGTCATACTATTAAATACAAATATTTTCATGCGTGAATTTAAATTTTATGTTTTAATATTTTTATCGATTTGCATTTATATTACAGACCACCCTGCTTCTTTTAACTTATTCTATATTGCACAATTAATAACAACCTGGAACGTATGTTTTGAAATTTATAAACCTAGTCACACCTGGAAACAAGTTAGCTTATATTATATTCTTAGAGAGTGGCTTATCTATCCACATGTTCCTGATGACTCAGAAATAACACCACAGGAGACAGTCTGTTACCCGGTGTCATCCTAAATGAAATGATTAGACGTGCATTAAACATTATTTCACCTTACCTATTGGTCCTTATCAATATACTATTGTCAAGTGACCATTTCCCTCAAAGATGGAGCTCGACACAAGAACTACTGCAGTATCTCCTTGTTATCAGTCATTGGCAAACTTCACAACTAATTAAAAAAATGTTATAACCTAAATGCCTGCTAAAGTTTGCACATTACCATTTTTGATTCAAAAGTATCTTACTAAATCGAGGGTTCCCTTTTTGTCGATTTCAGTACGGCTTTTAATGACATACAACATTACATTTTGCAACATTTTTTTATTTCTAAAAAGTTGCAAAACTTGTATCTATGGAAATGTATCTAAATTCTTGAAAATAGAATTATATGGCAAGTTCCAATCTTGTATACAGAGAAATAGGTTACAAATTACTGATTATTTAACATGTACGATAGGAACGAGACAAGGATGTATTCTTACTCCTTTGTTATTTACAGTATATCTTAATGAAATAATTGAATCTTTAAATAACCACCAGTGTCAATGTATTGTTGTCAATAATGAAATCGACAATATTGTTTTAGTGTTATATGCCGACAATATAAGTTGGTCGGTTATGCAGGCTCAAATAAATTGCATAAATAGTTTTTGCAAGACGTTGGAATGAAAAGTAGTTGTTGAATTTAGATGAGAGGAAAGAAGTTGAAACTTTGCAACGTAACAAATATCCATGATTATTGTTCACACTGACAAATCAAGCATGCTTCTTGAATGGTCATTTCTTTCGTAAATGAGTTTAGTGTTAATGTTAAAGATGTTTTATTTCTATATGACATTCAATGTAAATTGTATATAAGTAATAAAAAATGAAATACTATACCCTAATGTCGAAGTATATTCGAGTAGGAGAGAGTCGATGTTAAATGTGTTTAAGCGTGGTAGGACTATATCAAAGCAAACTTGTATAAATGAAAATAAATCAGTTATCTGCGAGCTTGAATATTTATTATAAATAATCATTGTACATAACGCGTTGAATATCACTGTATTATTCTATATTTGGTTTTAGTTTTTTTAGTTAGTTTTTGTGAAATTTGTACTTTTGCTGGAGACCTCATTTACTGATAGAAAAAAATGTCATTATTATTATAGTAATGAGTGCAATGAAGTGTCCTAGTCACAAACTAGGTAATCTAATAATAGTTGCTACTACGATCTGTAGTTTATCTTTATAGCAGTAAGCTAATCTATCTGTAGTTAGTTTATTGAATGATAGTGGTCACATGCTAGTCTATCTGTAGTTAGTAAATTGTATGATAGTGGTCACAAGCTAATCTATCTGTAGTTAGTTTATTGAATGATAGTGGTCACATGCTAGTCTATCTGTAGTTAGTTAATTGTATGATAGTGGTCACAAGTTAGTCTATCTGTAGTTAGTTAATTGCATGATAGTGGTCACAAGTTAGTCATATAGTTAGTTAATTGTATGATAGTGGTCGCAAGTTAGTCTATCTGTAGTTAGTTAATTGTATGATAGTGGTCATAAGCTTATCTATCTGTAGTTATTTTATTGTATGATAGTGGTCACAAGTTAGTCTATCTGTAGTTAGTTAATTGTATGATAGTGGTCACAAGCTAATCTATCTGTAGTTAGTTTATTGTATGATAGTGGTCACCTGCTAGTCTATCTGTAGTTAGTTAATTGTATGATAGTGGTCACCAGCTAATCTATCTGTAGTTAGTTTATTGTATGATAGTGGTCACATGCTAGTCTATCTGTAGTTAGTTAATTGCATGATAGTGGTCATAAGCTAATCTATCTGTAGTTAGTTTATTGTATGATAGTGGTCACAAGTTAGTCTATCTGTAGTTAGTTAATTGTATGATAGTGGTCATAAGCTTATCTATCTGTAGTTAGTTTACTGTATAATAGTGGTCACATGCTAGTCTATCTGTAGTTAGTTAATTGTATGATAGTGGTCATAAGCTTATCTATCTGTAGTTAGTTTACTGTATAATAGTGGTCACATGCTAGTCTATCTGTAGTTAGTTAATTGTATGATAGTGGTCACAAGTTAGTCTATCTGTAGTTAGTTAATTGTATGATAGTGGTCACAAGCTAATCTGTCTGTAGTTAGTTAATTGTATGATAGTGGTCACCTGCTAGTCTATCTGTAGTTAGTTAATTGTATGATAGTGGTCACCAGCTAATCTATCTGTAGTTAGTTTATTGTATGATAGTGGTCACATGCTAGTCTATCTGTAGTTAGTTAATTGCATGATAGTGGTCATAAGCTAATCTATCTGTAGTTAGTTTATTGTATGATAGTGGTCACAAGTTAGTCTATCTGTAGTTAGTTAATTGTATGATAGTGGTCATAAGCTTATCTATCTGTAGTTAGTTTACTGTATAATAGTGGTCACATGCTAGTCTATCTGTAGTTAGTTAATTGTATGATAGTGGTCATAAGCTTATCTATCTGTAGTTAGTTTACTGTATAATAGTGGTCACATGCTAGTCTATCTGTAGTTAGTTAATTGTATGATAGTGGTCACAAGTTAGTCTATCTGTAGTTAGTTAATTGTATGATAGTGGTCACAAGCTAATCTGTCTGTAGTTAGTTAATTGTATGATAGTGGTCACCTGCTAGTCTATCTGTAGTTAGTTAATTGTATGATAGTGGTCACCAGCTAATCTATCTGTAGTTAGTTTATTGTATGATAGTGGTCACATGCTAGTCTATCTGTAGTTAGTTAATTGCATGATAGTGGTCATAAGCTAATCTATCTGTAGTTAGTTTATTGTATGATAGTGGTCACAAGTTAGTCTATCTGTAGTTAGTTAATTGTATGATAGTGGTCATAAGCTTATCTATCTGTAGTTAGTTTACTGTATAATAGTGGTCACATGCTAGTCTATCTGTAGTTAGTTAATTGTATGATAGTGGTCATAAGCTTATCTATCTGTAGTTAGTTTATTGTATGATAGTGGTCACAAGTTAGTCTATCTGTAGTTAGTTAATTGTATGATAGTGGTCACAAGTTAGTCTATCTGTAGTTAGTTTATTGTATGATAATGGTCACAAGCTAATCTATCTGTAGTTAGTTTATTGTATAATAGTGGTCACAAGTTAGTCTATCTGTAGTTAGTTAATTGTATGATAGTGGTCACAAGCTAGTCTATCTGTAGTTAGTTTATTGTATGATAGTGGTCACAAGCTAATCTATCTGTAGTTAGTTTATTGTATGATAGTGGTCACAAGCTAATCTATCTGTAGTTAGTTTATTGTATGATAGTGGTCACAAGCTAATATATCTGTAGTTAGTTTATTGTATGATAGTGGTCACAAGCTAGTCTATCTGTAGTTAGTTAATTGTATGATAGTGGTCACAAGCTAATCTATCTGTAGTTAGTTTATTGTATGATAGTGGTCACAAGCTAATCTGTCTGTAGTTAGTTAATTGTATGATAGTGGTCACAAGTTAGTCTATCTGTAGTTAGTTTATTGTATGATAGTGGTCACAAGCTAATCTATCTGTAGTTAGTTTATTGTATGATAGTGGTCACAAGTTAGTCTATCTGTAGTTAGTTAATTGTATGATAGTGGTCACAAGCTAGTCTATCTGTAGTTAGTTAATTGTATGATAGTGGTCACAAGCTAGTCTATCTGTAGTTAGTTAATTGTATGATAGTGGTCGCAAGCTAATCTATCTGTAGTTAATGATAGTAGTCATAAGTGTCTGACATATTATAATAAGCAAAGAAGAAAACTTACCGCCCGGATGCTATGTAATCTAAATATAGCACTGAAAAAAATATAAATAACTTCATAACTTACTCTAATCAACTAACCATTAAAAAAAGAAATTATAAATGAAAAAAGTATTTTAAATTCTTTTTGTTTTTCTCTTGTCTAAACCAAGTTCAAAGCCCATCTGTGAAGACATGATAAACTAACTTCACAAAAAATATTTTGGGTAGTATAATTGTAGATTTAAGATAATTGGAATGCAATTTCAGTCTAAAGGCACAAAACAATTAACCTATCCATAAAATGCACCCATCCCTCTGAAACAATGTAAGGTAACAGGGAAACTTTTGAAAAATGTTATCCCTATTTTATCTTAGTCAAATATAAAAAAAATGGTTCGAAGATAATATATAAAGTAACTAAAAGTATATACCTTTTCGTAAACCAAATGGACTTTTAAAAACATGATCATTTCCTATAATATTATCCCTCACATATTTCATCAAATTTTCTTTGTCCTTAAATTGATCGGTGTTCATTTTGATTCAGCTTTATTTACAATTAACAATTTCAATAAAACTTGCAATCACTGTTCTATACCTATATAATGTTATAATATGTTTTCTTATATTCAATTAAAATTAACTTTCTTGCTAGATATCACTTTTCACGTTTTAGAATTGTCAACTAAAATTAAATTTCTAGCTAGATTTCACTTTTCACGTTTAAGAATTGTCAACTAAAATTAACTTTCTAGCTAGATTTCACTTTTCACGTTTAAGAATTGTCAATTAAAATTAACTTTCTAGCTAGATTTCACTTTTCACGTTTAAGAATTGTCAACTAAAATTAACTTTCTAGCTAGATTTCACTTTTCACGTTTAAGAATTGTCAATTAAAATTAACTTTCTAGCTAGATTTCACCTTTCACGTTTAAGAATTGTCAATTAAAATTAACTTTCTAGCTAGATATCACTTTTCACGTTTTAGAATTGTCACTTATAACTTTTTTATTTTCTCCCCGTCTCAAATGTTTTCGGTTTTTCCTTAAACAATCCTCTACAACAGTTTCAGACTATTAATTGCACTACAAAGTTTGTAATGAAGGTGCGAGTTAAAGTGAGACCTATATAGGTTCCGACACGGATGATCTAGTTCCTTATTAAAATATTTATAGAGTTACTTACTGTAACTGTGTCGGCTTACGTAAAAATAATTTAATTAGGGCAGCAGTATATTTTGCGGATATAGGCTATGTTATGAATCTTACGACTAGCCCTTTGATCAAAGTGCGTTAACGGATAGTCCGGTTCCGTAAAATGATAAATCCTTGAAGCTTTCGCTATAAATAGATCTACAATCGTATATAATTATAAACATTCGACAGGAAGTCGGAGTGTCGATTATTTTGATTTGGAATACCTATTCATCAATACATCCTATAACAATCTTTATGTCTACTCCAGTGAGGCCCGTAGCCAAGGGGACGGGGGATAGGAGCTTGGGGTTAAATTCTTATTTTAGTTAAATATGTCGAGCGCTGTTTTAAAATACACCTATTTGTTTTACAAAGTCAAGGTGAGCAGATGATAGAGAAAGCATATCAGGCAAATAAACTTGACCGTTTTTGTGCAACGTTCAGCCGTAAATCATACAATAAATAATCACTATTTTTTAAGTCGTATTTTCAAGAAAAAGACAAATAAACCTGAACCTTAAAGGGACATTCCGCTTTTTTTTAGATCGAAAACATTTTTGGCTCAAATTTGTGAAAACCATACACCAAAATTTAGAGAAATGTGCCCTTTAACGTATCTGAAAGTTTTAACTAAATAATCCACCCGTTAGTATTGAAACGCCAAAGATATTTTAAAACATTACGTAAGGCTTTTAAGTTCGTTAAGCGTTATGTAAGTTGAAAGAAAACTACTGTACGGATTTGAGTAAAATGAACGCCTAATTGTAGAGAAATATGTTTCCTACGTAAAACAAATTCCGTTTGATCAAGAAGATATATTGATATAAATAGCATACTTTAGAAAAGAGGAAGATCGTTTGTAAAGATCATATATAGAATTGGTCAAGGATAGTTCTCCGAGGAACGCCGCATTTTATTGTGCTCCATATTGATTGAAAATTATCAAGACAGAACTTTTGACTAGAACTAGTTCATCAAGAAAGAGCTGGCTATCAATTAATCTCATTAAAATTAAATTACAATGATTTCATTGAAATCAATACGCAAGATAACTAAGCCCTCAAAATACATGTACAGATATTTCTATCACCCGCATGTATACATTGCACAAAAAATCACGTAAGTATCATATATCTGCGGGTTACACGTGTGGTGGTACATTATTTAATGTATTATCTTTATACATGTATTTTAAACATTGGAGTGCCTTGTCAAACTCATATTACATTGGAGAAGAAAACAACGACCAAACGAGCCTTCCAAAGGTACCAACAAGTTCACCCCCATCAAAAGGGTGTGTTTACCAGATAAAGCGTTCCTGTGCAGAAATATATATTGGAGAAACCTAACGACCCCTAAACTTTAGGAAAGCAGAACATAAATCTATAGCGAGCAGTAATACCTCGACAGTTGCAGATCTCCTAAACTGGCGAAATAAAGTGAGTTTGTAAAAAATTAAGACCTGATAGAAATAATTCAAAACAACAAAATGACAAGGGGCATCCTCGAAGCAATTCACACCAGGAGACACCAACCCAAATTGAACAGATATGCAGGAATACATCTCATCACGGCATATGACCGAACTATTTAAAGGGACAGATGCGCCATTTTGACCAATCGTACCATAGTCTCAAAAACGGGATTTTGTTTTGTGGCTAAGCAAATCAGTGTTCACAGCTCACTGTCGAAATTTGAGCCTTCAAATCCATATGTGTCCAGAATAATCCGCGTTTGAAACGTAAAAAGACGACTCCTCTTTTCTTGAGACTCTGCCATATATTATAGAAAAGACATCCATAGAAATAAGAAATGAAATTCCTAATATTTTTATTCAAGACTCAAATCAACCCCCCAAAATAACGCGGTCGACCCATTATGTGTTATGTATCTTTTTCATATTGGATTGTGATAAGATTAGCAACCAGATAAGAATTATAAAATTTATTAATCAATTCATTCATTTAATCTAATAATTTTCTAGTAATCTTTTTACAATTCTACCAATTATAAACCTTGCTTTATCAAGACACCTCTTATGGATTATTTAATTCTCTCAATTCATCATTGTTCTTATTACACTCATTGTTACAGTTTGTATATATTTATACTTAGCCTCCATTGTACCTTCATACAAATAGCATTAAAATCTTTATTAGGGAGAAAACTAGGCCTGGCCTTTTAACAATTTTGCTAAAAAAAAAAAAAAAAAAAACTACAATCACAAAAGTAGTAAAACTATTTGTTAGTTTTGTTATTTTGTACACTTGATAATGACCGGTGGGGTCTTCTTGAATAGTCGTATTTAAGAAAAAAAAGTGATTGTTATGCTAAAAAACTTATATTCTATATATAAAGATTTTTGTTGTGGATGCAATTTAAATGTCAGGTTGTACTAGTTATAATTTAAACGATATCACAGGTGTTGTTTTCCGGTATGGAAAATTTATATAATTAAAAAAAGGTGAAAATTGTGCTTTAAAATTTTTTAAAACATGTTATTTTATTCTATGTATCGACATGTTCCACCTGAATTTGTTTTAAACGAGATAATACAATAACATGTTTAATTGAGTACTGATAGTAGGTTGTGATCGGCCAGGTAATTATGAGTCAGGGTCGTAATAACTCAAATCCAATTGTGTTTGATTTCATTAACAGGGTTTCAGAATTGGGAAATATAGACTTCTATGCAATCCGTTCCCTGATTATCTAACTGTATATTATATATAACAATGTATATCAGAAATCCATGTCACGTATAAAGTGCATCTTGATGATATACGGTGGTGTAACCTTTTTTTCGTGCATATAAGCACCAAATTTCGTCAGATCTAAAAACACGGGAAATTTTTTTGAGTTTAGAAGTTTCCCCAGATATTCTATAAAATAATTAAAATTCGTGTGTTTCGATTTTCTTTATGAATCCCCCACTTTGGTCCATATTTCATGAGTAACCATCTCGACAACGGCGGCAAAATGTGTCACCTATTTTCGTGTACAATGTTTGATCTATAAATAAGTTGAGAAAAATACGTTGTATGGATACCGGGTGGTATAATTAAATTTTCTTAGTATTTATCTTTAATAGTATTTCATAATAACTAATGACAATTCCTTCAAAGATAAATGATTTAAGAAAAAAAAATTTGACTGACAAAATTAGATAAGTAAAACGTAAGAGTGATTTATTGCTAACAGTCATTGAAACAACATAAGGATATGGCCTACATATTGTGTTCCATAGACTTTTTCTGTTGACACGGGATCCGCTAGTTTTTCACGTGACGTCGTTCGGTGGAATATATTCCAGTAGCCGACACTTGGAATTCCGATTACAGCTTGGGATTATAAGGAAATTCGGCCGATAAAAAATCGTGATACTTAGTAATAACTGAAATCCGCCATTTTGTTTATGTCAAAGTATACATTCATACATTTTACCTTGCTTGAAACTACTGGATTCATTCTACTAGCTGACAGTGTACAGACTACCCATGTTTATCAAAACAAGCAAATGCAAGGGTCACGCGAGGTCGCACATGTGAATTATTAATCATTTCCGGAGATGCACGAAAAATAGGTTAGCACGAAATTAGGTTACTTGAATTTTCTTCAATTATCGGTAGAGTAATGTAACTAATTATATTCACGTTACTGAAGAATTCAAATTAAGATACGTTGGTACTATACTTGTCGCTCTTGAATAGAAATAACATATACACGAACTTGGTTGATCGACATTGAAATCACTACGCAAGACAACTAAGCCTTCAAAATACAGATACAGGTATTTCTATTAGCTGCATGTATACATTGCACAAAAAATCACGTATGTATCATCGGGTTACACGTGTGGTGGAACATTATTTAATGTATTCAAATGCAAATAACAAATAGGTGAGAATTCACTGTAGCCAATATAGTCTTTTTTAGTTTTACTTTTACTTCATTTTCTAAATACATGTCTTTTAAACATCCAAGTGCCGTTTTACGCTCATACTGGAGAAGAAAACAACAACAATAATAATAACAATAGTAATTTTATTGATCACACAATTATAAATCCGAAGAGCGAAGAGATTTAAAAGATAACATCAATTATTTCATTTCAGTTTTAACAGTCTTATTAGATAGAAATTATAACAGGAAAGCACACATTTCTTTATGACTTTAGTTGGATAGCTATTTCCGATTTTAATAAAAAAAAAAGGAGAAAAGCTTTGATGTTCTTAGTGAATGCTAAACTGACTTACCATAGACAACATAAATATCATCCTTACTGTTCTAAAGGTCTTGATATTGCTACTTTTACAAAGTAATTGGAGACCAATTTGTATTAATTTACTATATTAACTATGGATGGACGAGGTATGAATTATAACGGAAAACCACATTCCTTCAACCTAGTGATAAACACAAAACTACCACCAAGATGGATCTCTGAGATTAAAAAAAAAAACACTTTAGTGTTGAAATGCGCCACTTTGAAAAAAAGCTATTACCGCCGCAATGCTATAAAACAATAAATACAGGCGGGGAAGTTTAATACGGTAAAGCAAGTCGTTTCAGTGTAATGTAGCTATCGTTGCTATATTCAGAAGTTTGCGATTTAACATCGAAATCGTCATGTGTTCGAACCGATTTCGCCGTTACCCCACTTTTAGCTTCTGCTGGAATCAATCTTTCAACTGCTCGTGATCTAAGTGGTGTTTCTGGGTGTATTTTGTATGATCTATCCTTGTTTTGTTGATCTTCATCAAGATCATTTTCAGATAGATCACCTTGATCTTCAGATGTTGAAATTATATCTTCGTTATTCTCAGTTTTGTTTGGAATTGTGACAGGGGTACTGGTGTCAAACTGAGAGTCCTTCTCTTGTTTCCTGGTGTCTATCATGCTTTGAGACTTTTCTTCGGTCTGTGTGACTTTTGGTCGCATGATCTTATCTGTTTCTTCCGAGACCTCCTCGTAATACGTATTCGTCTGAATGTTGCTAATTTGAAGTTTTCTAGGAATAGGTTTTAGTTGTTTAGAAGGTCGTTCAGTATCTTTATCATCTTTAATTCCGATTTCTGGCGGAACTTGCAACTTAACAGATTGTTTTTTCACAACATCAAAAGATCTTGGATCTCTTTTCTTAATTGCTTTATGGACGTTACTTTCTGTATCATTGCCATTTGATTGACCCTGGTGAAATGTATTGTAATCATTTCCCAGCATTTGTGGATATTGAAAAGGAAAGGGCATTAGGATTGGTTGTGATTGTGGCATTATATTAGGATAGTTTGGTGGATACTGGATTATTGGAATAATATTGGGAGCAGCTGTCATTGGAGGTTGATGGAAATGATGATTACAAACGTGGCTTCCATGGGAGCAATGATTTCTTTGCTGACAGCAATCATAAGAGACTTGTGATGGACCTGAATCGTGTTGTAACTTCTCGTTTTGTGCCTTAATTTCAGGGACAGGTTCAGATGCTGCGGGAACTTCATTTCTCTCGTAAAAGCTTTTTCATCTTCAGCTTTAGTTGCAGACCTGATGGTGTTGGTGTTATCTTTTGCCTTTTCATCTTCAATTTTATCTGGTATTGTTTCAATAATTTCTTCTTTCACTATTCTTTGTTTCTGGAAGAAATATAATAATATCTATTCGGGAGGGAGTTTGCTTATGGAGTACAAAGAGAATTAGAATAAACTGATAATGTCGCGTCACCCCATGTACTCACCTCATATCACCCGTTAGAAGAAGCTAATAAGATGGGGTTATGAGTTCTACCTGATGTCCAATATATGTGTACTATATGGTATATATACTTTATAAGTATATGACAATACACTGCTTTTTCAGCGTGGAAAAGGAACAAATTTAGCTTATCTCAAACGCAGCTTCGGCTTTGCGTCGCAAACCGACAAGGGAATCCGTGTTGTAAGCAAATACTGCATAAATTACAAACGTCTGGAGGTCAAAAGTATCTTTTAATCTAACTTTAATCGCGCGAAGATAAGAGACATCTATTAATTAAATACCTTAGAAGATTTGGTATCTGAGCAACAACAACAAATACCGACAGATAAACAAGCAAAGAATATCTGTACTAAAGAAAGGAACGTTATAGACACCGGTATTAATAATTCTGTATAATCGTAACCTCGGTCATGCCTCTGAAATGAAACAGAAAATTCTGAAGAGGTTCTCAACCGAAATGTTCCATTCTCTTGAACCATTCCTGTGTCTGCGTTTTCAAAAATGTTTCTGAATTTTTTTCGGCTACTACTCCTGTTAAGTTCTGCAAAACTTTTTTTAAAAAAAAATAATATCAACTTTTCGGAGCCTCCGCCAGGAACACTTGGTGGTCTAACACAGTCACTTATGGGAATAAAGAGCATGAAAAGCGATTATTGAAATTGCTTACCAGTATAACAATATAGCCTGCAACTCCACCAGACAATGGTGCCAAAATTAGAGCTGACACCAAACTCATAAACAAAAACACACCTTTCTGAAATATACACATCGCACTTTATTTACTTATTCCCCGAGACCACAGTGATCAATTCTTTTCCGATAGGTCATTCATTTTCAAATCTTCCTTTTAAATTTGTGATAATTGACTCTCAATAATATTGTTTTTGTTTGGTCTCCTTGCGGTCTCCTCGATAACTTTCAGATAACATAGTGATTGGCTGATATATGTATCATGTTGAAAATACATAGAGCAAATACGTCATTAGAAATATGATCTCATTTGATAGAATAAACCTCCAAACTTTTAACATCCACTTTAACACGGCCGATGATTGTTATGATGAGAAACCATAGATTTTACTAATCTATGATAGATGACTGTCGGATAACAAAGTGTAGATTAAAATAATCTAGGATAGATGACTGTCAGATAACAAAGTGTAGATTGAATTAGTCTAGGATAGATGACTGACGGATAACTAAGTGTAGATTGAATTAGTCTTGGATAGATAACTGTCGGATAACAAAGTGAAGATTGAATTAGTCTAGGATAGATGACTGACGGATAACTAAGTGTAGATTGAATTAGTCTTGGATAGATGACTGTCAGATAACAAAGTGTAGATTGAATTAGTCTAGGATAGATGACTGACGGATAACAAAGTGTAGATTGAATTAGTCTTGGATAGATGACTGTCGGATAACAAAGTGTAGATTGAATTAGTCTAGGATAGATGACTGTCAGATAACAAAGTGTAGATTGAATTAGTCTAGGATAGATGACTGTCGGATAACAAAGTGTAGATTGAATTAGTCTTGGATAGATGACTGTCAGATAACAAAGTGTAGATTGAATTAGTCTAGGATAGATGACTGACGGATAACTAAGTGTTGATTGAATTAGTCTTGGATAGATGACTGTCAGATAACAAAGTGTAGATTGAATTAGTCTAGGATAGATGACTGACGGATAACTAAGTGTAGATTAAATTAGTCTAGGATAGATGACTGTCAGATAACAAAATATAAATTGTATTAGTCTTAGATAGATGACTGTCAGATGACAAAGTGAACTCAATGCATACATATGAGATTAATGATATTTTTTTTTTTGGATAGATTAATGGATGCATGTTATAAATGTATATTAATAACAAGAGAAATAGTCCTACTGTAAATTTAAGAGCTTTAATGATTCGTTTTCCTCTTCCAATACAACCAGCTATTGATCCACATACCATAAACTACAATTATCAACAAACTGAATCAAATTCCATTCATTCGTCCTTTCATTCATATTCAAAGTTTCAAGTCAAATCCTAAATTCTCGACAACAATTGTCACCACATAGAAAAAAAATTTTGAAAAATGTTTTATCAAATTTTATTTTCCTATTAACAAATATTCATTTTGTGTCTTAGTTATCTTAACACTTAAAAAACCTGTAAAACAAGTCTAATTTGGCATTAAAGGTATTGAAAAGACATTTTCCTAATTTTGGTAATAAAATTTTAATGAAGGAAACCTCTTTACAATCAGTTTTAGTCAATGAAAAAATGATTTATGAATTTTTAGCTACACTTTGAGAACAAAAATCTCATTTAATTTTAACTTGTAAATTGGAGTCGTCTTTGATGTTTCAAAAACTTGACAAAAGTATAAACGTATTTAAAGAATTTTGAATATTCAAATGAATAGACCCCTAATGGACTGAATCCTCTTATCTGATAGCTAATTTTATTTGGTCAACGTCACGCTCGTGACTTAGGGACAATAATTATTGATTTAATACATTTATTAGTTTTACTTCCTTTTACATATCTTTAAGGTTTAATATATCTTAACTGAGTAATATTTACATTAAGATATTATTAAATAATAAATTAAGATAATAAGATTATCATTATGCACTTTATATCTTATGTCAATAAAATGATAAGAAAATGACATTTTGAATGATCACGTTGACGTTTCTTTAAATTACAAACACGTATTTCAAAAGTGTTTAAAAAAAAGTAAGGAGTGCAATCTCAAATTTCAACTGGATAAAGACTTTGTGCGCTCAGATATGGCTAGTTTTGCCTACATATTTACAGATAATTTCCACTTATGAAATCAATAAGAACAACCAAAAACCGAATATTGATTCTACAAGGTTTTATCTAAAAATACTCAAAAGAATTATATACATTATATATATCACAGTTCAATGATATGAAAATAATTGTCTCAGATGAAATTTTAAGACATAGTTCTAACAGGAGCAACAATATTAAGGTTATACAAATCATTAAATTCACACCAATAATCCTTAAATCAAACATCAGAGATAGTTAATAAAGCAACACGTACAATAAAATAACATGCTTTAAAAAAGAAGCCTAAAATTGCTCGATTGGCATCATTCTAAAGAATTAAGTGAAGAATTGTTCAATCATTTCGTATACCTATAGACATCATCTCTATGCCTTATGATGAGCATACCAAATAATAAAAATTGTAGTAAAAAATTTAGGCAGTAGAGTGTAAACGAGATTGGACCGAGTACCTACCCATACTCCACACCATGTTGGTACGTCAATTGCGGTTAATGTTCGGTGTAGATTCCATTTGTCCACATTCGGCCAAGGTACAGTGTCTGCCTGGTAATGTAATAGTACATCTACTATACCCAAAATAATCAATAACATTCCGTTAAAAACCTGGATACCACCAATAATTCCAAAACCAAAATAAGGAAATATATCCCATTTTTCTTTTGATAATATTTTCTTTATCTTCATTATGTTTTTTCTTTTACATACATATTAGAATATAACACCTATATCCTGTTGAATAGACAATAACAAAAACTTCTCACTGTTATAATAGTTTTTCAATACATCAATTGTAGAGCGATATAGACAGAGATATTATAAACATGTTGTTTTACGCTCTTCAGACAACTGAATATATATAAACTTTGTTAAAACAGAATGACAGATAGCGTTTGTTTGCCTTATCATTAATTTCATTATTTGCAGGCGACCAAGAAATACGGATTTTCCTTTTCATCTGGTAGCTCTATAGATAACCAAAGTTATGTTGTTATCATGGGAAAGTAAATTTCCCTTCGATAGTTTATAAAAATTTGATTTGAATACCATACTATTTTTATTATACCTACCAGTTTAAAGATAGCTATGCAAATCTTGGAATACGCCCTACATTAGTTTGCTAACGCTTAACAAAGATAGCTTGCCAGGCAAGGTAACATTCGCACACTGGCAGCTGTCAGAAATGATAAAACAGTGACTAAAGTATGAATTTTCTCATATTAAAGAAATTTTGATAGTTTGAATTCAATGATATATATATTTACTGGCAGTTATTTATGCTGAGAAATTCCACCAAATGTTTAAAAATCAATATCAATAACCCAAATACATCAAATTATCTCATCAATATACATGATCACACCATGTTTCATTAAAATCAATTTAAAACTGTAATGTGTTCACCAACTAATTTTTCATGCGTTTTTCCTAAGTCAAGGGCAATAACTCAAAGACCGTTCATCGAAATATCAAATTCGAACTTGTCCAAGATCTCATCAATATAAATGATCACACCAAATTTCAATTAAATCAGTTCAAACCTGTAGTCTCTATTGTGCTCACAAAAAAATTTTGACGCGTTTTTCCTAAGTCAGGGGCAATAACTCAAAAACCGTTCATCAATAGATCGTCAAATTCGAACTTGATCAAGATCTCATCAATATAAATGATCACACCAAATTTCATTAAAATCAGTTGAAAACTGTAGTCTCTATTGTGTTCTCGGACCGAAGTTACTAACTTGAAAATTCAACATACTAACTTGAAAATTCAACTTAATAAATTCAACATACTAGCTTGAAAATTCAACATACTAGCTTGAAAATTTAAGATATTAACTTGAAAATTCAAGTTACTAACTTGAAAATTCAACATACTAACTTGAAAATTCAAAAAAAAAAAAAAAAAATTAATGGCCCTAATACGCTTCCGTAGTTAAGGGACACGTTTCTCTACATTTTTAGTCTTCATAAGTTAGAGCAAAAAAAAAAAAATTCGACCATCGAAAAAAATGGAATGCCCATTTAAAATCAGACAAAAACACTTTCCCTCTGCCATTTTCGAAAAAAAAAACATGCGGTTTTAAATATCATAAAAATCCTCACTCAGTCGTGTTTATTATATATATATATATTGTTTTGCTTATAATATGTTGTAATCCAAAACATAGAGCCTCTGAGAACCATTTGACAGTTATCATCTTGACAACTTTTCACTATCTATCAGAGGCTGGAATAGTCAGATGTTTCGGACTGCGTATGCCAGTGTTTTTGATAAAGTAGGCCTATCCGAACATCACAATATGCATCAACAAATTTCGGCTAAAGTCGATAGGCGCCATCCTTGTCTTGTCCAGTCGATAGGCACCATCCTTGTCTTGTCATCCAATTTCAACGCTGAAAATCTCTCATATAATTCAATTGATAGACATAATCTTGGCATTGGTACACAAACACACGAATAAATCCGTCAAAATTTGAACCGACCGATTGACGGACAAGTGTGACTACAAAAGTGATTTGAGATTCTGAAAAAAATCTCCCTTCGATGGTTGCGCTACTGTTCTTACACCACACCCACATTCCTGTTCAAATCGCAGTGCTGCATGAACTTACATACCCGATGTTTCTCTGTGAACGTATTTTTTTTCTATATTAGATCTGTATTCGATCTCATAATATATTAAACACCCTATTTACATTTTAAACTTGGGGAGTTAGATAAGAATTGGGTAAAGTTGGTATTTGTAGCCCAGGTCGATTGATAAGATATTTCTAAATACCATACTATTTTTATTATACCTACCAGTTTAAAGATAGCTATGCAAATCTTGGAATACGCCCTACATTAGTTTGCTAACGCTTAACAAAGATAGCTTGCCAGGCAAGGTAACATTTGCACACTGGCAGCTGTCAGAAATGATAAAACAGTGACTAAAGTATGAATTTTCTCATGTTAAAGAAATTTTGATAGTTTGAATTCAATGATATATATATTTACTGGCAGTTATTTATGCTGAGAAATTCCACCAAATGTTTAAAAATCAATATCAATAACCCAAATACATCAAATTATCTCATCAATATACATGATCACACCATGTTTCATTAAATTCAATTGAAAAGTGTAATGTGTTCACCAACTAATTTTTCATGCGTTTTTCCTAAGTCAAGGGCAATAACTCAAAGACCGTTCATCGAAATATCAAATTCGAACTTGTCCAAGATCTCATCAATATAAATGATCACACCAAATTTCAATTAAATCAGTTCAAAACTGTAGCCCAGGTCGATTGATAAGATATTTCTAAATGACAACGCGCCAGATATGAGGAGTGTCACATAAATAGTGAGCCTAGTTAAATACTATGCAATGTGCAATTTGGTTATTTATTTATCTACATAAGCCGTGCTGACTTCGTCTACGTTACCAGAATAAAACCATTCTTTGTCACATGACCTTATAATGGCAATGATCGTCCGATTTGGATCTGCGAACACTATATCTGTCTCGAATCTGCAACAACGTGAAGATTTTGTTAAATCTAATTTTAACTATGACCTGTAGTGTACTCGCTGACCTAACCTGACCCGACCTTCACGCATATTCATAAGCTAGCCTCGTTTTGTTTATAGCCTTGCTTGCCTTGTTGTGCAGTTAGCGTGCTAAGCCTTGATCGCTTATTAGTTTTAAAAAGTTTAATAGCGGATTTCTCCTACAATCATAGATGTCATCAAGCAGGAAAAAGACTGTGAAGGGAGTAAGAGACATGGAGAACGTTTCTGAACCGACGGGAGAAACTCTAACTAGCGGTAAGACTGTACAACTTGCAAATGAAAATGTTGAAACGCCTGTTGTGGTTATCAACGACATGCCTAACATTGCGACTGATGTCATCGTCGCAAGCCAAGGATCTCGTCATCCCAATATTCCGCTGGATGTTGCAGCGTTGGAAGCAGAGCTTCAATCTCTTCAAAAACAAAGACGGTACTTAACTCTTCAAAGGCAGATATCTGCAGAAAGAAAAGCCGTAAATGATCTTGAAAAAGATGAAGAAACCGTGCCTACCAATATTATTACGGAACCTCGTGCAGTCGAGAACGGATTTGAATTCACTGCCTCAAGTACAGCACCAGTCTCAGGTGAGCTTGAAAGATTACTTCTATCGCCA